ATACAGTGGCATACGTTTGTATGTGTGTCAAGCATAGTTCTATGATGAAGGCTCCGTTAATGTAACAATGTTGGCTTGCCGCGTCCGTTCCACGGTATCGTCGGTTGCCGCTCGCCGCCCTCGCCGGCCGTTGGTTAACGTGGATGATTCTAAAAAACCGACGCTGCTCCAAAACTAAAAATGCTAGAAACACATTTATGATTTCGAAACACACGCGCAATGGATGCTCCATGGTCAATGAAAAGTTGAGCGTGATTGCACATGTGGAAGATGCGTTCACCAAAAACTCTTACAGGCCAGTGGAGGGGGTTAAAGTCTCATCGACACTCGCCTCCCCCCCCCCACACACACCAGCAGACCGAGGGATAAAAAGATGATAGCTTCATTAGCCAAGAAGTAGTCTTGTTTTTTTGTCTTAGATTGCTCAGAAGATGTAAAAATGGGACGGGTGTGGCAATAAGTGCATGTTTCCTAGGAAGCGTAGTCTCAACATTTTTCGTGCTAGGTTGAAAACACGAGTTTGAGCTGCACCGCATTTCCTCAGGGAGCATTGTTGCGAGGTCATGACCTTTCGCTAACCGCGCGTCGCCGTTATCAGTAAATCAGTGGAAATGTGCTGCTGTGACCAGTCTTGACGACCGCAGTGTTTTCCCCATTGCTCACCCAAGGTAATATTGCAGTAAGGATGGGAATGCATGCTGAAGCTGTTGCCGTAATGTTCTACTGTGGTATTCATTGATAGTTATGCAATGAACCTAATTATAAAAGAGAGTGGATAACATCCGGAAATGAAACCTGCTGACCCCATTAAGTTGGTGTGGTGCGACGCCTAACTACCAAAGTTGTCTTCACATCCTGAGCAGCGGATTTTGCTGTCGATTTTTAATTTTTCCGAAGTTCCTGTCGTCCTGCTTCGGATCACATAATCTAATCAAAGCGGGTTTTAGAAGCACACAGAAAACATACTATCGTTGCAAACGTCACACGTTACAAACCGCTGCCAACATCACCGTCGCTAGCTTGGAAAAAAAGAAGTTTCCCTCGGACATGGTCCTAAGCAAGCAGAAAGATGCTTCATCAATCCGCATCGAACCAGTGACATTACATGAACATGAACATGACGGTGTGTGCCGCTGACCAGTATGTACACGGTGTGTGCCGCTGACCAGCATGTACACAATGTGTGCCCTGACCAGTATGTACACGGTGTGTACCGCTGACCAGTATGTACACGTGTGGTGCCGCTGACCAGTATGTACACGGTGTGTGCCGCTGACCAGTATGTACACGGTGTGCCGCTGACCAGTATGTGCACGGTGTGTGCCGCTGACCAGTATGTACACATGTGTGCCGCTGACCAGTATGCACACGGTGTGTGCCGCTGACCAGTATGTACACGGTGTGTGCCGCTGACCAGCATGTACACGGTGGTGCCGCTGACCATATGTACACGGTGTGTGTCGCTGACCAGTATGTACACGGTGTGTGCCGCTGACCAGCATGTACACATGTGTGTGCCGCTGACCAGCATGTACACGGTGTGTGCCGCTGACCAGTATGTACACGGTGTGTGCCGCTGACCAGTATGTACACGGTGTGTTGCCGCTGACCAGCATGTACACAATGTGTGCCGCTGACCAGCATGTACACAATGTGTGCCGCTGACCAGTATGCACACGGTGTGTGCCGCTGACCAGTATGTACACGGTGTGTGCCGCTGACCAGTATGTACACGGTGTGTGCCTGACCATATGTACACGGTGGTGTGCCGCTGACCAGTATGTACACGGTTGTGCCGCTGACCAGTATGTACACGGTGTGTGCCGCTGACCAGTATGTACACAGTGTGTGCCGCTGACCAGTATGTACACGGTGTGTGCCGCTAGGCAGTAAGCAAAGCGCATGACTCATGTACGAAACCAAGCAGTAGGCTACACGCTATGTCAGCTGCTCGGTCGATACGTCACAGAACATTATCCGCATATCTCGGCTTGCTCATGCCGGAGCACGCCGAGAAGCACCGGCAGACGCGATACCGCCGTGGTGGGATCGCGTCTGTCGCTGCTCCTGCTTGCTCCATGCATGGAGTGCGGGGTAACCGGTCACCCAACAACCCCAAGCTGGGTCCGATGGCGTCTTTGCCGTCAGCTGCGCGTGACGCAAGCTTAAGTGTGTTTTTCTGCATGTATCCGACCCATAAGGTTTACGTGAAATAGTTCAATGTCGATTTGCTGGCGGCGCCCGATTGGAGAACAGTGATGACGCAACCCAGAGAGAGAGTGAGAGAAGAGAGAGAGAGAGAGAGAGAGAGAGAGAGAGAGAGGAGAGAGAGAGAGAGAGAGAGAGAGAGAGAGAGAGAGAGAGAGAGAGAGAGAGAGAGAGAGAGAGAGAGAGAGAGAGAGAGAGAGAGAGAGAGAGAGAGAGAGAGGAGAGAGAGAGAGAGAGGAGAGAGAAGAGAGAGAGAGAG